TTTCTCTTTCTCTCTGTCTTTGTGTGTTTCTCTTTCATCCTTCAGGACACAAACCTGCAAGTGCGCTCGTTTAACTCAAGCTGCCTCGACTTGCAACGTGAGTCTGTGAATTTGCAGGAACATTTACAGGTCTGGGGATCTTGTACAAACAAGTGCTTTCTCCTCTCTGAGCAAGGCTCACAGTGACTGCAAAAAGGCAAAAGGAAAGATGTCTAAGCTACAGCGCTTCAGCAGAAAGAAAATACACATGCAACACCCTAAACATCAAAGCAATTCCCTTGCCCCCTCCCACAGCCCCCATGCTGCCCACTGGAGCGTCGCAGGCTGATGGATTTTCCAGCAGCACCCCGACAGCCCCAGGACAGCACCCCCTTGCATTAGCGTAAAGAGAAAGAAAACAGGCTCTCTGCACAGTATTCACAAATGCTGCATTGGATCCACCAGCACAGGCTGGAGGGAGGAAGAAGGGGAAAGCAAGGATGGGAAGGTGAGAGGTCCCAACCAGCTATTCACGTATCAATGAAAGGAGTTCTCTGAAGTGGGCTATTCGACTAGAAAGAGGCCAGCGACTAAAGGAGTTACATACACAGGATCTCTCCTGCCCTGGAAAGCAGCTGGGCTCCAGCATCACGTGCTTACCCCTGCAGCTGACACTGCCCTCCTTTCTGTAAGCCCCATCCCAACCTTGCCACCTAGACGTTTCCTACGGAGGGGCCATGAATTTACAATGCAGAATTCTGTGAACCACCGTGAGACAGGCAGAGTGAAAGAGAGAGAGACAGGGAGAGAGAAGCCACCGAATCCAGCAGAGAAAGGGAGAGAGAGCCCCGCCCCAGTTCCCCAGCACCCTCTCTCCAGCTTCCCACCATCCCACCTCTCCTCTCCGCCTGTGACTCCACCAGACACACACGCACACGCGCGCACATGCGCGCACTCACGCGCACACACACGCACACATGCACGGCAGATGCCAGCCTGCCTGTCGCCAGTCGTCGTAGCAGTGAGGGCACAAGACGAGTAGGGGGAAAGCAAATGAGAGAGTTGCAACCGGAAGGCATGGAAAGGAGGTGCAGGGCACTCACCCACCCACCCGTGCTCTTGTGCCTTGGGAAAATGGTTGCCACTGATGATTAGAGAGCCAAGCAAGCTAAAGCCACCTTCCCTGAGATACCCTTAGTGCCAGAGCGGTGCCACCACCAGTGCTGCCCCTGCAGGATCTGCAGCCCACCAGTGACTGGGAGGGGAGGGTGAGATTTTGAGTAAGCAGCAAGCAGGCGTTTTGGTTTGGGGAAAGGGAGGGAAGAGAGTCTACAAGCAGAGGACACAAACGTACAAGCTGGGTGGTTTGTACCGGCCTTTCTTGCGCTTTCTCTTTTGACCCTTCCCCTTTCCTCGCTTTGATTTTCTGGAAGAAAAACAAAAAAAAAAAGACAGAGACAGAGAGAGAGAAGGAAAGAAAGGGAGAGATAGAGAGAAAACGGAAGAAAATGCAAGGAAGAAGAGAAAAAAAAATACAGCCATGTGCCTTGCTGGGAGGAGGGGGGGAGCACATGAGGCAGGACTGCAGGGCAAGTCCTGGGGCCGAAGCACAGATCTCCACCTCACACACACATTTGCCAGTCCTCCTGCGCTCCTGCCAGCACCGCAACCAGCCTGCCCGCAGCCAAGCCAGTGCCAGGGACTCAGCAGACACCACCTCCAGCAGGGCTGCTGCCAGCAGAGGTGGATCTGCTGGAACCTCAGAGGGGCACCCACCCCCTCCAGAGAGAGGCAGTGGAAGAGGGACGGGGGGTGAGCGGGAAGGAACAGAAAGCTTCGTGAAAGCATCACGCAACCGCAGTGAGTGCAGACAACCGTTCCGGGCAACAAGCGCGGGCGCACGCTGACAAGAAGCAACCTGAGCGGAGGGGCTGTCCCCGGGGAAAAGGAAACAGCTCTGACCTGACGCACTGCCCAGCACCAGGCCTTGGGAGGGGGCAGTCGAGCCCCAACAGCTCTGCTGCAGGGCTGGTGGTAATACTGCCTTGGGATGGGAGCAAAGGCGGCCTGGCCTCAGCACCCCACAGAGAAGGGGAGAGACCTGGTCTACACAGCAGTGCTGTGTGGGCGAGGGATATCTAGCCCGAAGGCTCTGCTCACCCACTGCACCTCCTGCCTGTGGTTCGGAGGACTCCACCAGACAACCTCTCTGGATGTCTGCTAACACCCCCTCTGGCAGCCTCCCTCCCGAGTACTGAAGGGCAAAGAGGGAGGCCTGACCTAGTTACGACACCCAGGAGATAACCAGCAAGCAGCTTTCAGATTTTCCCTCCTTTCCCTCGCCTTCCACATGGATCTGCCAGACAGATGAGTGGACAGAGCCAAGGCACTGACTCTTCTGAAAAAATCACCAGCTGCTCCTGACTTTTGGGCAGGAGCTGGGACAGGCAGGGGCTAGGCTGGGACACTAACCGTGGATCCCTACAGGCCAGCGAGAGCACAGGGAGGGAGGGAGGCTGGAGCCTGTGCTGCTCCCTGAGCCATGTTAGCACAGGACGAAGGGATAGACATGCAAGGAGAAGGCCCTAGGCAAAGCACTAGGGCTTGTCAGGCACGTGAGCTCCAGCGCTGTGGCAATTCAGCAATGGCTCCCTCCTTCCCTGGTGCAGCCCACCTCAGGAGGGAGCTGTCGAGGGGACATGGGGGGGGGGGCCAGAAGGGAAAGCACCATAGGTGTTTCTTAGGCCCTGTTCAAGTTGTCTCACTGGAACGAGTGTCAGAGCATCAGCTCGCTCCCAGCCTCTGCCCTACATGTTCAGGAGTCACCAGGAGGCAGTGAGGGGAGGAAAATGAACCTGAAGGGAGGAGAGGGGCACCAATATAATAGAACTTTCAATCCAACACAAATCAAACCACACCAATCTCTCCCATCCCTTCCCTTCCTTCCCCGGGGAGTGCAGAGCCAGCAAAGAGCAGGCAAGGTGCTGTTAGAAGAGGAAAGGGAATGCAACACAGTCCGGGCTGGCTGCTTCACCCATACCCCATCCTCACCAGAGTTCACACAGACCCAACTCTCGCACACCTTCAAACCACATTGCCACGCAGACCGACCGTCCCCGACACGGCCCTGCACAGAGAGGAGCGTTGGCTGCGTGCAGCCCGGTGCCGCCAGGAGCAGATTTCCAAGGGGAGGAGGAGAGGCTGGAAGGCAGCTAGAAATATACAGCCACCAGGACAGGGGTGAAAGAAGTTCTCTCACTCTCCCACTTGCTCTCTCTGTTTCAGCCTCATCTCCCAATATTCACTCCCTTCCTCTCGAACTCCGCACCTCTAAATTGCAGAGTTGCTATCCCAGCCATGCGTAGTCCAGCTGACCCTCTTGCCCAAAGAGGTCACTCTTTCTTTTCGATGTTGTTCCACGTTTTGTGATCGTCCCTGCAACTACTGCAGGACGGTAACTTATTTCTCTACTTTCCACAACCTTTTTACTTTAGGGAGGAAGGAAAGGGAAGGTTGTGCCTTAACCTCCTCCAGGTCACCACAGCAAATCCATCAGATTGAAAAAACCTCTCATGAAAGCCTCCACCAAGACGCGGCTAGGACAGCCACCTCCCTTTACACAATTCCCAGGCCCCCACCCAACCAAAACCAGCGTCACATCCTGCATGGCATCAGTCCTGCCTCCACCAGGCCTCTATTGCCACCTCTCCCTGTAGCCAGCAGAGTTCCTACCCAAGCTGCTGTGAAAGAAGCCAGCAAGTACTCACTCAAGCAGCAAGAAAAAAATTAATAATAAAGAAAGGCAGCAATATGCAGTAACCAGAAATACCCCAGGAAGAGGGATGGGAGAATGGGGGCTGCACCTTGAATCCATTCTGGTAGGACACACACGACAGGACTTCCCTGACTCGGGATAAAGCATTAGGAATGACTGCCATGGCCATGGATCATGCAAGCTCCAGGTCTGGGGTATGAAAGAAGGACCATCAGATCTGGGTTTCTGTGCCCACCTGGAACGGATTCAAAGTGTCGCCCCATGCACTACCATATGCCATTTCCAGAAACACCTTCTCAAAGTATGTATCTCCAACCAAAGAAAAGGGCAAGGGGCAGTGGGGAGAGGAAATGCCAACCAACCACCAAAAGAGAAAGGAGCAAAGGCTTGTCACTTACTTTTCTTGTTTGTTTTTGACATCTTTCTTTGGTCTGCAGGGGAAGAGAGAACAAAGGCCTCATTAGAAGAGAGCTTACCACATACGTGTCCAGTATTATCCCCAGTTCCCGCCAAGTTCAAGGAAGGACATGTAAAGCTGGCACTGCAGGATGCCCATGGCACAGGTTAAGTGGTCCTTGTGTGTTTGCTCTCCTGTTGCACCTCGCTGACAGACAGTGCCAAAAGACCCCAGGTTGCAGGCCAGCATTGTCCACTTGTGATATCTAGAGATGGAGAAGCCTTGCCAGCAAAGGACTTCTTTTCCCAGGCTCAGCCATCCCACTGCAAACCAACTGAGGAGACTGCAAAAGCCTCTGGACAACAGTCCCAACCCAATGGCAGAAAAAAGGAAAGCCTCAGAGTAAGTTTATTGTAAGAGGAACCAGTGCTGCTCCGTTCTCACCTGCAGTCACATTTACTGTGCTGTAAGAAGCTCATGTGCGCTATGTGCTGACTCTGATGGGGTTTAATTCTCATGATCTGGAATGAAAGAAACAGAGAGGGTCACTGCCCATTCACTATTTATATTCACAGCTCCAAATCAGCCTGCTGCGCAGCAAAACATTTGCACCACAGGTGCTCCTGGGAAGAGCATGGCAGAGTTTGAGCTGTCTTTGAGGCCCCATCCTCCCAGTCAGGGAAGGCCTTTGATCACAAGCAAGCGGCAACACCAGACTCGTGCCAAAGCTCTGTTTGCTCATGCATGCAAGGTGCCAGCACTGGTGGACTGCCTTGGAGACAGTCATGGGAGAGGGCGTAACACCATAGCAAGGTTCTCACCGAGCCCATCCCTGGTCGATGCTATAGAGAGTCAGTAACAGAGCATCCAGCCTGCTCTCATGTAGACGCATTCTTCAGTCTAATGCAAAGGCCCAAAGCAAAAATTCCATATCCAACTCCTTTACCCTAAGCCACCGTTCCTCCCCAGCTGACATCTCACTTTCTCAGTGACTCGACACACAAAGTAAATCTGGTGATCTGTGCTTAAAACAGCCCTGCAGAGCCAGACATTGCCCATCCCCCAGCCCTAGCTGCCTCCAGGGAAGTGATATTAGAAGCTACACCATGTACTCTCACAGGATCTCAGCCCAGAACCTAGCTGGACCACTAGCTCTAGCATTTGCACCAGAGATCTGCTCAAGTGCCTCTGACCCTTTTCAGGCATGCAGGCATACCAGACAAAAACTGTAGTTCAGCAAGCAAAGGTAGGAAGAAAACCATCCCTAGCTACACCATGCTAGTATGCTCTGGCCCAGGCTGGAGCCTGCAAGTGGAAAAGTATGGGGAACCATGGAAGGGCACAGACAGGTTCTCCACCAGAGTTCAAACACAGCTCAAATGACAAGTAAAAAAGCTGGCTGGTTAATCGCTTAGTCCTGCATGTCTCTCATCCATACCAAAAAGTGATGGCAATATTTTTACAGTGGCCATTCAAGAGGCTGAGGGACAAAAGTAGGTGAGGGAGCTGTGGGTTAAGGGTAATGGGCACCAGCACCATTGTGGACACAAGCTGGGATCCAGGCTGGCAGACAAGGGGCAGCAACAAAGCTCTCTAAAGCAGAGTTTGCACCTTCCCCATGTGCCCAGCCTTTGCTATCACGGCCATCTCTGTCTCTTCCGAGGACTGAATTCAGCAGCCTCCAAACAAAGGAGGAGGACGCCCAGAGGCAGAAAGGCTTTTCCACTTGACACTGAAGCAGTGTGTTTCTTAGAGCCCCTTTCCACCCCTGCTGTGCCAATGTAGCTAATGACCCAAATCCCCTGCTCTGTTGGTAAAGGCTGACCTCACATGCCCTCCGGGAGAGAGTTCTGCCAGACTTTCCCCTTTTGCACTACTCAGCTGCCTTCAGAGCAACAGCTTTGTAGACCAAATGCAGAGTTAAGGTGGAGCAAGTGTCCAAGGAGGATCTTCTCTGGGGCCTCAGAGATAACAGCATCAGAAATGCTACTTCGCATTCTCTAACTCCTTTGCAGAAATGCTCCTTTGTCTACTCCTAGCTACTGTATTTGGGCACTAGCAAGGTCAGAGCCAAAAAACAGATTCTCCTCTTAGCCTTGAGTAGAGATGGGCAACTCATCTTTCAATCTGCATGGTGTAATGCTGGCCACAAGGGTCAGGAGAAAGATGAGCCCTCCTGCTCCAATAATCTCCAGTACCCTGGGGTAGGCCGCCCTTCCTCTGAGATAGCTGGGAGCTGGGACTTGGGGTGGCTGTGATGGCTGACTTCTTCCTCCACCCAAGCATGCCAGCTTGCAAGCTGGGCCCTCACCTCCATTGTGACGTTGTACACATCCACAGGGACACATTCTAGGCCCTCATCGCCGCAGCAACCTGCACATCTCATCAGAGGCACGCAGGATGGCTTGAATATGTACTCCACCTCATCAGGGTACTCCTGGAAAATGTCCACCAGGGTCTCAATTGTCCTGCAGAAGCTGCGCTCGTAGACTTCCAGGAATTTGATAACTAAAAGGAGGAATGGAGGGAATAAGTTAATGCAAACTTAGCTCAAGAACATCTAGTGCTTCGCCCCTTAAAACAAGCCAGACAATTGCAACACAGCTACCCTACGCTCTTCACTAACAGTCTTACAGGCCTAAGTCCTTTGTCTCTGCCCTACACACACACACACAAATCAAGCAGGGGAGAGAAAAAGACAATCTCTTCCTACCGCTGCTTCAGGGCAGATAGAAGTATTTGCCTACCTGGCACCATGATGCGTCCCATAGGTGCCTCCTCCCCAAGCACCTTCCCCGCTGTCCCCCATACTCTCAGTTGTGCTGCCACCAAGCATATTAGCTCAGCCAAAAAGCACCTGAGGCTGCTGCAGGTGATCTGCACTTTGGATTAAGGCCCTTCACCAGTTTTCCTTTTACCCCTTTCAAAATAGCCAGTGGATGCCCAAGTGGGTTTTAGAAGGCAAGGGGATATGCCAGAAGCATCCTTTCTACAGACCTCGGCGCACAGACACTTCTGAAAACAAGCAGAGGGTTCTGAACCATGCATCCACGTATCTTCACTCTTCCTGTCAGCTACCTCTTTTGCCCACACAGATCATCCACCTCAAGAGGCCACCTCAGAACCGTGACAGCACCTGCTACAAGTCACAGCCTCCATGTCTCCACACTGACCACTTTCCCAGACCAAGGAATCAAGCCACCCACTGAAAGATTCAAAGCAAACCCACAGCACCCCCAGGATTAACTAGACCATATACTTGGCTACTGAACCACAATGAGGCAGTGTGGGAGGGGGAACAGGGTGGATCTACCATTATCCCCTGCCTTCCCTCCGAATGGAGCAAACACTAACCGCTTGTGATCTGCACTGATTTCACAAGCATTTCTCAATGTTTCCCAGTCTCTTGCCAAAGCTTCATTTTGCTGCTTGGTCAAGGGTTGGAGAGATTTAAAGAGATGAGAGATAGGACAGATAAGTACACACGCACAAAACCCAGCTGCTAGTACAGTTCTGCAAACAGAGAGTACCTGGAGCCCTCCAGGCCTTCTAGCTCTACCAACACACAGGCAAAGGAGGATGTCTCAAATGGAGCAGAGGATAAGAGTATGCACAAAGAGATAGTACCTGCCCCATGCTGTTATGCACTATAATGATCCACCTGTACAGTATGAGAGTCCTACAGCACCAAGGTTGATAACTCTGAGTGATAAGCGCAAACTGCTTGCATCATGGAAAAAAATGGTCTCCAGTAAGCGTTTCTAAAGTGCCCTGAACTTGTGACAAACTGGCATAAAGGTTACTTTGCCACAAAAATGTAAAAGCTGCAGGGCTTGGAGCTCACAGCCCGCAGTTAATTGTTGAAAGTTAATTCTAGGTCATGCAGAGCTGACAGTGCCATAGTGCTGAGAGTGGGTACAAGAGGGGAGGAGCTTCCATCCAGGGAGTTTGAAGTGTCAGAGAGCGTGAGCAGCTATTAAAAGAGAAAGTGCCTTGTGAAAGGGAAATGTAGCCTGGCAGGCATGGACTGCTTGTTGGTATTCCTCATCTAGAAGACAACATGTGTCTGTTCCTTGTCCCTTCCCTTCCCCTGCCCTCCTCCCCTAACTGCAGTATGCCTCCTGTCTGTTCTCCTATCTTGTCTGTGGCTACCTCCTTCTTCCCATTCCGCTTCAGAGTGACCTTAGTCACCGCCTATGTTCCAACAAGTTGAACAATTTAATATGTGGGAAATTCTGCAGGCACAATGACAGCCACTGAACTGCACTGTTGATTATTCACGCTCTGCCAGCAGAAAGGATCTGGGAACTCTGGCAGTAAAGGCACAGTTCTGGATAAAAACACTTACGGACCTATGTCAAGGGGAGGGAGGGAGAGACGGAAGAAAAGAGGGAGGGAAAGCAGCAGTTACCTGTGCAGATCAAATGCTGCTCACGGCAGTAGTCAGGGGCATATAGAGGCAGAAACCGATACAGAGCAGAAAACTGAAGTGAAACTGATTCACATCTGCCAGCTTTCTAAATGTTTGCACTGCGCAAGCAGCTGGATTACACCAGAGAATCCAGACTGTATACAGATTGGCCACAGAACAGCACATTCAACTCCTTTTGCAGAGGGTTTAGTTTCACGGCTGCACCCTGATGACTAGAGATTTGGGAGATCTGACAGGACCAAATTCTTCCCATAAAGAATCTGGGAGGTTTTGCCTTTACTTTAACATATGATGATTTTCCAAAGTCTGAATCAGCCTCTGAAAAGGAAACCTGGAATCTTTCTGCAGCTGCCAGTCAGAACATCCTGCCACGAAAGGCGCATTGCCTTGATTTCACTGGACACAGACTGTGCAATGCTCCATAGTTCATTTGCACAGTTAGCACCCAAACCAGAGCGCATGACCTAGGTACAGTCATCCTCACAGCGAAGCCCTGCCCCTGCTACCATACCTACACTTACTCCTGTGTACCAGGAGTCATATTCCACACTTTGCTGGGCTGATCCAGGCTGTGCTTCCTTTCCATTGGTTGTGTCAGGGACGGAAGGTCTGTCTTTCGTGGGGAAACATAGGAAGGTCACTGAAGGACTAATACCACTTGGCCTGCTCCCTTCCTGCAATTTGGGCTTCAGCCCACGTTAAAAGGTAATCCTGCATCTAACCCACACCCCTACCCTGCAAAACACCTCCAGATTTGAGTCAGAGGTTCTTCTTTGCGAATGGAGGGGGAAGTAAGATTAAAACCCAGTCAGGGCCCACATTAACTCTTCAGGACAGACATAGCCACAGCAGGCAGGATTAAGTCCAAATTTGGAGCAGTCGAGTGGGAACATGCTAGACTAGAAAAGGAGCAAGTCTATGATCATTTTGCCTCCCTCCCCGTCAATGGCTTAGCAGCAATACAGACACGTTGTTCTTTCAAAAATAAAAGTGCAGCCACAAGTGCTAGTGGTTTCCTTTATTTATACCAGAAAATCTTTTCTCGTGGAAAAAACAAAGAGTGTTTGTCCGATTCTTCTACAACTTCCCGTGCCACAAAACATGTGGAAGGCTCTCTTCAGCACAAAAGAGTAGGGGCTGAAGCTAAAATTACAGTCTCCAACCAGAGTAAGTCCGTCCCAAATAAAAACCTGTCACAGCTCGACATTTCAGAGCAAGCACAAAATGGCCAAAGACACAAAATCACCCTTCACCCCAACCCCAAAGCCCCCCAAGAGCTTCAGTGGAAGGAACTACAGGGCTGTCCTTGTGGAACAGTGGCACATCCTCATCTACTCAGAGGAGAAACTGAGGAACTGAGAGAGGACCTCCAAGGTCATACAGTAGGACAGAAGTAGAGCCAGGAAGGTAATGCCACGAGCCTCAATTTCTAGCTCACAGATATATCTGCACCACAGAACCAGAAATAGCACCAAGGCATAGCACTGACATCCCACCACTCACAGTGACAGACCAACTTCTCCCATGATCCCATCAGCCTTCTTGTGACAGGAAATTAAATTCTGTTCAATTCTTCCCCTCCCCGGGAAGGTAGTCAGCCACAACAAATGGCACAGATGAGGACACTAGCACTTCTCTACCAACAGCAGAGGACTGTTACTAAAATAAGCCTCACAGCAGGCTCCATCTTGATCCCTCTGGAGTCACTGAACCTTCTTCTGTTGACTTCAGCCGGAGCAAGGGTCAAGCATTAACAGACAGCAGCCCACCAGCAGATCAGAAATGTTGCCCACGCAAAATGGACACCTATCCCAGACAGAGCTTGCCACAAACCTCTGGCAACGCATATGCAGCCTGTCACACCAATAAAGTTACAGAAATTGAAATCGAATGTGACAAAAAAAAAGCCAATCTAGGCCCACACTGCTAGAGCCCTCTGCTGACCTCCAGCTGGAATAACGCTGGAGGTCACAACCCATGGGGACCCTCCAAGAACTTTGCCAGACCCTACCATGCAGCGAGTGGTCTGCTCTGCTATGAAGGTATGGGGAAAAAACGGTCAAGATGGTCTTAAAGCAGCTGACGATCACCTCAGCCTGAAGGCTCTAAAGTCCACAGCTCTTTTACCCCACTTCTGAACCAAGGACTGAGGACAGAAAGCCAACCTCCTGCAACGCACAGGGCTCCACCAGACAGGGCGCTTGCAGGAGGCACCTCTGACTAACCTGGGGGCTGACTGCTCTTCTGGTCTACATTTACTTGCACAAACCAACGAAGCAGAGGACATTGCCACAGTCTGGCCTTTGGGCAGCTGCAGCGATAGAAAAATCACAACAGCTGCAGAGGCACCACCCTGTTTCCTCATCAGGCAATGGTCCCATCATCCATACTGGACCACCAGCAACAAATTAAGTATAACCTATCAGATCACACTGCTGCCCCCTGAATCTGGTGAGCCTGCTAGCTCAAACCAGAATAAAAAGGTGTATTTTTCAATCCTGGCTCTGTACAGCACTTAGCAGTATCCTGATGGGGGCGGGGGGGGGCGGCATACCCAGGACTGTCGGGAGGCACGACTGCTTAAAACCATGCTGGGATGCCCTTTTTT